GAATTCTTTTGTTTCTTAAAGCAAATGCTGCGTTTTGAATATTTAGTAAAAAAAGAAGATTTATTCTATGTTATCTTATCAAGTACATCGTGATAGACGTGATGAAAAAGACATTTTAATTTTTTTATATACAGACGAACCTCGTTAAGTCCAACCTCGATAAATGAAAAACCTCCACATCTCGAAAAAAATTTGCGTTCCTTTCCTTTCAAACACCAAAACCTCCATTATTCGAAATCTCAACCCTCTATTAGTCGAAATAATCAGTGAGTCCCTCCAAGCCAATTCGGTACATAATATATTCCCTCCATAACTCGAAAAATTAATTTTACCTCTGTATCTCGACAATAGCAACGTCTTATTTTGCAACCTTTACAACTCTATTATTTTAGACTCATTACATCTATCGAATACAAATAAGTTACCGACTTTAAGAATTTGCAAGGAATTAATAGAATTACTACGAATTTATGACTCACATTAACACGCGTTTGCTTGCTTGATGTCAGGTGTTTCATTTTATTAGTTTTGATTTCATTTGAATGCAAGTTATTTGTTTTCGAGTGAAATGCTGTCAGAAGTAGTTTGGTTCTACTGCAATATATATCAATTTGTACATAAATTTACAAATATTGTTGTAAACATGAGTGCTGTGAAACGTATTTTACCTCCCTTACTCAAAATTTATAAGAATGAATTTCAATCTCTTTATGGCGAATCGAAATCCGTTTAAGTCGAAATTCTCTCTAAGTCAAAAACTCTATAACTTGAATTTTTTTGCGTCTCCCTTGATATTCGACTTATAGAGGTTCTACTATGAAAAAAATTTGGACGATAGAGGAGGACAGACAAGCACGGGGTTTACTTGATGGTAGTTGATATATGTAAACATGATACGCTAACGATATATTTTGGCGTTGGATATTCGGAAATCCACAGTCTGATACCGAAACGCGATTAAACTCCACGGCTTTTTCTTCTGTGGACGGACGAAATTTTAATATTCTTACCACCCATTTGATATCCAGATTTCTAACATGTTTTACAAACATTTTAAATTGAAAAATGAGATTGGAGTATTGGAGATTTTGGAACCGGTAGGGATCGAACGCACGACCATAAGACCGACGAGCCCATCAAAAAATTCAATTCAACTCAAATAATTTAATTCACTCTAAAGAACATACAAAAAAATATTGTGATATAAGAGAATACATAAGTGGGTTACAATTATCATATACACTAACTATGCTGACGAAGAACATCACTCAGCTGTTACTTCAACAACAGAGTTTGCTGCAGTATCGATTTTAAATGATGCTTCGTGGTACTAAGAGTACGTACACGTGTTACGAACGCGTAACATGTGAAATAGAATATGTTTCAAATATCCTTATAGTCAAAAGCCATAACCTTAACTTGTAAATAAAGTAGGTATATATAAATTTGTTTAACATAGCAACGAAACATCGGACAATAAGTCTTGCGAACGCGTAAAAACTTCTCTTTTTAATGGTCTTGCAAAGTGTCGCCTGTGTCTCGAAACTATCGGATGGAACTACTAACTTTTGTGAAAGACATCTCTATGAAATATTGAACGCGACTAACCAAAAGTGATTGCAGAACAATAGACTTTTATTGTTATTGTATTAGAGTTACATTTCGCGTGACAACTGATTATAAGCTTTGCTAAACTATCGTCGGTTGGGTTGTCCTGTTGTTTAGGTGTTTGTTTATAGTTCAAGACGTTTGAGATCGAATTTTGTTTGACAAAAATGTTTGTAGGGTACGTTTGCTTTATACCGGGATTAAAAGTTTTGCCATCAAACATTAAAGGATGAAGTTTCCAATTTTACTTATCATTTGGTCTACCGATGGGTTTGCACACTCACGGGAGAAAATTCGGTAATGTGTGGGGGAATTGAGCTTTCTCAGTTTATTTATTTATTCATAAGGTACACAAACAAAACAAACTATTATAAACAATAAGTCTTAAAACACTATGTGATAAATTGAGTTTGTATCTCAATTATATGCGTACACGGAGAAACTAAATCGTAGTGTTATCAAAAATAATGTATACTATAGGTTGTTATGTAATTATATAAAATAAGTAGAAATTATGTTACAAGTGTTACAACCATTTATAGTACTAGTTGTGTCAGCGACTTCGTCCGCGTATAATAGTAATTTTGGGCATCTAAATTTGTTTTTACAAAACCTCTTCATCGTTATAAGTTAGCTGTTACCCACGACGTCGGTCGTCTAAATTTGTATTCAAACAAACAACTCTTCAGCTTTATATGTTTTTTATTTCTTTTGTTTAAAAAAATACCTAACCTTGCAATTTGCGAAGACCATAAGCTTCTGTAGCAGGTAACACATAAGTACCACAGTCATATGTCACGTCCTAATAATAAATCTTGGCAAACGACGACATAATAAACCGGGTTTGAGCAGTCCGGATATGAACCCACTAACTAGTTCACTAAACAAAGGGTTTTACACCTCATTACGCAGACTTCATAGTACTATCGAGTTTTTTAAACTATCCGACACGACTATTTTGCGGGGACACTCTCCCCGTGACCACGGCTGCTGCAAAGTGCCCAATATGTCAGGCCGCAGTACTTTTCAAATAAGTTCAACTAATATATATCGCGTTTTAGCCCGTTAAAGTGTTGTATTTAAATGTGTACCAGTAGGCGTGAACTACAGACAGTGTGTTGCGATTTTTGTACAATCGAATCGCAATTAAAGGCATATAATAAGAATAGGTTTAACGTAATTTGAAATCGCACGCTTTTTTACGATTTTGTTATTTTAAGTACTTATTGTGAGTACAAATTGAATTAACACTTTTTACGGCTAAAAACTAGTAATATATTTACTAATTCATAACTAATAAAATATAATGTCTAAACAGTTTAATGTCTTTAAATAAACCATGAATTAGTGCACAGTCGTGTCGCAAAAGCTAAAATAGTTTAAAACTTTTACTGTTATGTTATACGGGAAACTACGCTCGATTTAACCGTCTATACAAATAAATACATATACATTTTGGCGTATGTGCTGAAATATGAACGCTAACTAGGGTTGCCATAAAAGCTACGCAATTTTTTTCTTGATGCTTTTTAAAATAATTAAATGTAAAATAAAATAATTCAGGTCGGTCATGAGATATAATATTCGCTTAAAAGCTCTCGAACTAAACGAGTTTTTTGTTTAAATAAAACACTTCAAACGGTTAAAAACGCGAAGTATATTCGACGTTTCGAATGCTTTCCAACGGCCGTAGTCGCTGCCAGAATTTAAAATAAATTAGAAATGTAATTGATATAGTTCGCGTTTTAAACAGTTAAAAGTGTATTATTTAATGTGTTTATCGCGTAGTCGATCTTGTAAATTTGTAGTATTAATTTACAGATAAATGTTAATTTACACATATACATAGTTGTGACACACACAGATGTCGTCATTATTATAGGCCTCTCTTCAAAATTCATACTTATGAGTTTAACTCTTTAACATTAGTCTGCTATTCCTTATAAACCCAAAGTTGGCTGAAGGATGGAGGCAGCCCTAACAGAAATCCGCATAGATAGGCCTTTGTGAAGATGTAGATTACATTTGGGGAAAGTTTGCTCAAATTGAACTTGTGTATTGTAAAATATGTTTATCAAAGGAAAACGTGTGGTGTTTCCTATGAAACACTATGGAGTGTTGCTTTTAGGGAAAATTTGATCAAATAATCCCTGTGTATACTGGCGAATATGTATTCGTAACTTTTAGCAATATTATCAATCAGGTCGTTTAACCTCTTTATAAGTATTTATACTTAATGACTCGAGCTAACTTTTCAAATGGCTTTAGTAGTAAATTAAATAATTAGACTGGTGACTCATATTTAATAAATTTACAATTTTTTTAAATAAAATATTCTTAACGGTGTTAAACGCGAAATGTATTAGTTATTTTATTTGTCGGAGAGATACCGTATCGCAGAGAAAACGTGGGATTTATTTATCGTTTTAATCCGTTAAATGTATTTTATTTAAATGCTACCACTCTCTGAAGTAAAACAAGTTTTGTGAATTTTATATCTCATATTCGACTCTTTATAGTGTAGGTTTGCGACTTTTTTCCTCGTTAACAAAACCTTTTTAAATTCTGACCTTATCTACTCTAATATTTTTAATAGCAATAATTATTCGCTTTACGACTATTAATTTAGATGAATAGAATATAGAAATAAAGGAGGTATCATTTGCAAGCCATTCGGAGCTTCGGTAGCTTTTAACAAAATAAATTAATTTTATTCAAATTAGCCCATTCCAAATGGATTTTGCATAAACGTTTACTTTCTTAATTGAAAAATTATCTCAGCGCCCAGCTTTGGCTAAGACGAGATTTTAATATGCGTCATAACTTTGGTGTTTTTATTTTTATTTCAGATTGTAGGTCAATTTCTGGATTAGCTTAGTATTAAAATAAGCGTTAAGATATATAACATTTTTGTAAGTATCATTGACATTATTATGAACATATCAGTGCTCTGACCAAGATCAAGATATTATGTTTTCCCGGGATCCGAACCCACGATCTCTCACACTGTCTCCAATGCTAGTCAATGAGCATGGAAGTGCATTTTTGCCTTGATTTAAGAAATTTTAAAAAGTATTTCTACAGTTTTCTTTCTTTTCTTTCCTTTTATAATATGTTATAAACTGCTGTAGAATGCATTAATTATATTCCAAAACCTGTAGTGCTGTTTCGTGCTTTAAGCTTCCTAAGTACCGAATATATAATAAATGTTGGCCGACCTATAATTGCCTTTGGTACACAGCAGAATAATTTTAGAGAACAAGCAAGGTGAATATTTGATGGAGGTTAATAGATAACGGTTGTGGAGTGAAATTGATTTTAGTAATTAAACAATTAATTTAATTTATACCTATATAACGTGTATGGGGTAGAGGGCGTTTATAATGTTACTTCTAAGTTGTAGCCTGAAATAAACATACCTTTATGTACCAAAAATTAATTAATTTTAAATATCCATTTAAAATGCTATTGAATGAATAACTGCTTAACTTAACCGAGTCCTGGTTTTCAAATTCCGAGGATACAATAAGTTGTTTCAGTCAGGTAGAGCACATTATTATTATCAATTATTTGTCTGTAAAATTGGTTATTAAGTAAGGCATATAAATGTGTTCCCCCATGACCCATGGGGAAATGGGGTCCAGTTTTCAATGTTAAGATGATATAACACATCTACTATTTACTGAAAATTTTCAGAATAATGCCTTCATTTAAAAAATCTGTCCATTGTTACAATTTCATTGTTTGACGTGGCGTAACTTCTATAAAATAAATAAGCCATCAAATTTCTTTTTATAATAAACTTACAGACTATAAACATATTTTTTAAATATTTACACGCGGCCCAAAACTCTTGCAGTAGTTGAAGTTTAGGTAACACTTGCTAGCTAAAACACTTAATATTCTCATACTCTCAAACGAAAAACAAGAGTCATGTGGCAAAATACCTCCTGATTTACATCTTGGCACAATATTTCTGCCAAAAAAACCGAGCGAGGGTTTATGAAAAGTAGAAAGTGTATAATTTTCGCATTAGGAGCGCCCCTACTATCCTTGTATGGGCTATCAGAAGTGCCTTCGCGTCCAAATGATGTCATTAATGCTTCACGTCCATCTACTTGAATACGTTATTGATTTAGCAATTTCCACTTTGATCTAGTTTTATGGATATGAATTGAATGACATCTGAAACTTTTCACTCAACATAGTTGTGTTAACGTGTATGTGGTATCCCGTTTCCCCCTCGTGGGCTATGGGGCGAACACATTTTTGAGTCCGTTTCACTGATTCGTTCTTTAACATGCAAGTAGTTGATCAGACTTCTGTGCCCTTGTGTATGTAGATCAATTCAATTTATATATAATCGATTTTTAATTCATCACGTGTATGTACATAAATAAATCTTTTTAACGGTTTAAAATACGAATGCTTTGCACAATGATCACAGGACCGTGTTTAACTAATACGTATAAACTTGTAAATATGTAATACTCGTAAATTACAGATACTTAACATGAATTAAACAGTAAAGTTCTGGTAGAGAAATTTACAAAATAATATGAATAACGACCAACAATTACTCAGCTAAAATAAGAGAAGGTATAAATGATTTCTTTCCCTAACTAGAGTATTGAAATATATTATGTTATGAAAGCTGATTTAATTCCTATAAGATAAGCTTTCATGGCCCAAGAACACTTATTGTACTTAAAATATATCACATTAAACGCTTTTAAACTACTTTGAACTAATTTTATTTAAAACATTATGCCTCGTAAAGTGGATTATTTTAATAGAACTTTCCGAAGTGCCCTCTATTTTTATATTGACGGTCAGTCCCCTGATACTGACTGATGAATATTAAAATACCCAGGCGGAGACGACCCCAAATCAGTAAGGTTCTCGAGTTAATGATATGAAACCCTTCAGTATTGTGGTCCAAGTGTTTCAAGGATTTAGTTCCTTGAAACATAATGACTTAATATATTTTTATTTTCTTCAATATAACCACCCCTACTTCTACTGGTTATAATGCTTGAGCACAACGACTTATTATAAAGTAAAAACTTAATATAATAATTACCTGGGATCCCATATCAAGAAAAACAAGACACACAACAACAAACACACACGAGACGACACCGTGTGTCTGTTCTGTGCGAGCGACGAAACAGATGGCGATAGCATAGACGTGCGTTTTCCTTGCCGCGCCCTGCGGGGCGCGGGTTCCTTGTTCAGCCCTGTCGGGCTCTGCAAGGGGTGTTCTTGCGCGCCTTGTAACAACAAGGCGGTCGTTAGGTCCATGTAGGTGGTGGTGAACGCCCCCGCATCTCGCGGTCAAGCACCGCCGGGTGAGACCCCCGGTAACCCCGGGGGAGGCCCAGCGAGGCGACCAGCGGACGAAGACGCGGGATCGGCGTTCGAGTCAAATCCGGTGTGTTTGTTTCAACTGTTGCCGTCTGCTGCTGCTGCAGGGAGAGGCGGGGAGTCGGGAGGGGAGAGGAGGTCTCGCGGAAGTGGGAATCTTCTGTCCGGTGGCCTAGTGTGCCAAGGGGCGAGGCGCCGGAGATGTTGCTCGCGCGATGAGTCGGCCCTCGCGAACATTTTCTCGGCCATCCGGACGATGGACTCTTTGAGTGAGGCTTGCCGGAGATCTCGATGGATAGTGGAGTTTCTCACGTAGCGCGGTGCCTTGATAATACGCCGGAGTGCCTTGTTTTGCACTGCGTCGAGGCGTTTCTTCTGAGTTTTCGACGCCAGCGCATACCAGGCTGGTGAGGCGTACGTGAGGTGGGGACGGACATAAACATTGTACAGGGACTTCTTTGTGTGTACAGGAATGTTGGAGGATAGGATGGGGCCGAGTTTGGCTAAGACCGCTTTGGCTCGACCGACCACTCTAGTGATGTGATGTCTCATTGTTAGGCTCCGGTCGATCGTAAGGCCGAGGTACGTGACGCGGCTTAGCCAAGGGACTTCGGTGCCATTAAAGGAAAGGGACGGCGGTAAGTTGCCGCGACCGAAACAAATGGCTTGGGTTTTGGCGGGATTGGCAGTTAAGCGCCATTTCTGAAGCCAATCGGGAAGGAGGTCTAAGGCGCGCTGAAGTTTGATGGCCGCGTGCCGGGACGACAGTGAGGTTGCGATGAATGCTGTGTCGTCCGCGTAGAGGGCCACCTTGATGTCTTGTGGGGCAGGGACGTCGTCTGTGAAGACCGAGTACAGCGTTGGCGAGATGCAGCTGCCTTGCGGAACGCCCGCTGTGACTCGGCGGGGACTCGAACTTGTGCCGACGTCGACTGCAACGCGGAAGGTGCGACCGTGAAGGAAGGAGAATAGGATTGAGGTGATGCGGCGGGGGACGGGGATGGCGTCGAGCTTCGCGATCAGGCCGGCGTGCCAGACACGATCGAACGCCTTCTCCATGTCGAGGAATGCAGCAGCAGCAGCGCCCTTCTTGTTCAATGCGGAAGCGGCTTCGTGCAGCACTCGGGCTAGTTGTAGCGTTGTGGAGTGCGCAGGTCGGAAGCCGAATTGCTCGGGGCGCGGGGTGTAGAAAGTGTTAAAGCGAGACAGCAATAGCGCTTCGAACACTTTCGACAAGGACGGCAACAGTGTGATTGGTCGATAGCTGGCCGCCTGCAGTACGCTCTTTCCTGGCTTCAATAACATCCGGACTCGTCCTTCCTTCCAACACGCCGGAAACTGTGTGTGCCGCGCGATCGCCGTAAACAGCCGTGCGACGGCAACGACGAAGTTCGGTGGAAGGTGGCGCAGCGCGATGTTCGGGATGTTATCGGGTCCTGGGGCCTTCTTGAGTTTGACGCGGAGGAGAGCTCTTCTCACCTGACCCGGCGAGAAAGCGATTGGGTCCTCGTCTGGAGGGATGCTGGGCGACGCGAATCTCAAGGCGGCGTCCTCGGTCGCCTTCACGCTATCCTCCAGATGTGTAGCGGCGGGGTTCGGTGAGAATTGGCGTTCGAGATGCTCCGCGAAGATTTCGGCCCTATCCAGGGCGGCGTACTTCATTGAGCCATCGGGGTGCAAAAGCGGCCGCGGCGGGACGGCGGTCTTCGTCAGGCTTCGGCATAACTTGTTGAGGCTACTCCAGTCTGTCGTGGCCTCGCCGATACGTCGCTCCCACGATTGCGCTTGATACGTCTGTAGCTCCGTGCCTATCTTTTCCGCTAACAGACGTATCGCTATCTTAAGTCGTGGGCAACGATTGCGCTGCCAGGTTCGGCGAAGTGCGCGCTTCCTTCTAATTAGCCTCAACAAGTGCGGCGGGATGTCTGGCTCCGTCGGTGGTACCGTGCGAACGGTGGTGGCTTCCCCCATGGCTCGTTGTATGTGCTCCGTTAAGTCGGCGGCCAGCTGATCGACTTGCAGCGCGGAGGACGGCGGCACGAACGGGGGGAGGGAGGCGAGGATCGTGCGAAAGAGATGCCAATCTATGCTACGTCTCTCGCGGGGAGCGGGGAGGCGGGGGGTTAGAGGGAGTCAACGTACTGATGACAGGGAGATGATCGGACATGTGTTCGTCCATGATGACATCGAGGGATAGGATACAGGAGATGCCACGATGGAGGAGAAGGTCGATAGTTGAGGGGTTGTGGGAGTCATTTGCGGGATAATGAGTGGGAACGTCCGGAGCCGCAATAATGTAGCCGCGCTGCTCTGCGTCGGCGTGTAGTGCTCGGCCTCGGGTGTTCGTGCATGCGGGATTCCATTCTTCGTGTTTGGCGTTCCAGTCGCCTGCTGCGATGCACGCCGTGTGCGGGGGCAACAGTTTGCGGAGGTCCTGTGTGTTGAAAGTTCCGTCCGGCGGTGCGTAGACGGCGTGCATTGCGACCGGTTGGCCGTCAAACTCCAGTTCGACTCCTAGCGCATGCACGAACGAGAGGTCCAGGTCCGGGAGACGTTGGTGGATCCGGTTTCTCCTTATGAGCACGGCGAGGCCGCGATAGGCCGTGCCCGTCGGCGAGATGTGGTCCTGCCTATAGGTAATGTATCCCGGTACTTGGAATTTGTCTTCCGTGCGCAGGTGTGTCTCGTTTAGTAAGGCGATATCAATGTTGTGCAGCCTTAGTTGCATTTTTACAAAGGCGGCCTTCCGCTTTAGGCCGTTTGCGTTCCAGAACAGGATTCTAAGGGACATTCTGACGCGTTTTGCCTCGGCTGGGAGCCGCTTTCGGAGCGGAAGGCGCGCCTGCGGGCTGCAGCGCTGCAATAGCCGTGTGGACGGCTGCTTCCACAATGTTCGTTAGTGCGGCTTGAGTAATAGTTAGCGGTCGATCGGCAGCGGGCTGGACCGCTCTCCTTGCTCCCTGCAAGGCAGGCCGCGCTGCGCGGGCCGACGAAGTTTGAGCGTGCGTTGGAGGGGGGAGCGGGGGGTCGGAGCGAGCGGCGATGTTGCTCTGTCTCGCTCTCTCTGTTCTCTGTCCCCCTCTTGTGTTGCCTCTCGCTCTCCGTCGCTGGGGTCGGGGTTCGGTGCCCGGGGCGTTCTTGTTTCCCGCGATTGTAGAGGCTGCCGTGCCCGCTTTCTTGTTTTTGGCCTCCGCGCGGAATACGGGGCACGACGTGTGGTTGGCGGGATGCGCGCCCTTACAGTTCGCGCAGGTCGCCGGTTCCTCTCTCGGACGTGGGCAGTCTGTCGCACGGTGCTCACCGCCGCATCGTACGCAGGCTTGGGGACGGTGGCAATGGTGGGAGGAGTGGCGGAATTTCTGGCATCTGTGGCACTGTGCGGGCCCGCGTTTGCCGCGCCACGCCTCCACAGTTACGCCCGGCATGCACAGGAGCTCTTCTATGTTGTAGATGGCGGGAGTGAGGTCCGGAGTCCTCTTCAGGATGACCAAAAAGAGGCACCCGGGGCGCCCCTGGGACGCTTGGATGCGTTGCGCGTGCTCGGGCTGGAACCCCAGGCTCTTGAGCTCCTGCACGATGAACTGCGGGTCGGTGTCTGCCGGGAGGCCCCGGATCGCCACCTTAAGGTCTCGTTCGGTGGGGAGCGAGTATGAGAACCATGACACCTTCTGGTTCTTTTCCAGCTCCGTCAGGTACCGCTGGACGATGCGGTACTCTTCCCCGTCCTTGGGTGAGAAGCGCACCCCTCTGCCAAAGGGGCGCGCATTCGGCGCGTGCCCGAGACGGTCCCTCAGGGCACGAAAGTGGGTCGTCCAGTCGGGCAGGACCTCTACTACCAGCGGCGGGTAGCGGGGGGCGGCGGCGGTAGTGGTGGCGGCTGGCTGTGGCCGTGGCGATGCAGGGCGGCGGTCCGCGGCAGGTGCGGCCGCGAGTTGCGCGTACGACAGGGGTGCGTCGTTTGGTGTAGCGGGCTCGGCGCTCGAGGCAGGCGCGGCGACGGGCGCGACAGGTGCGGCGGCGGGCGCGACAGGCGCGGCGGGCGCGATACGCGCGGCGGCGGGCGCAACAGGCGCGGCGAGCGCGGCGGTAGGTGCGGCGGCGGGCGCGGACGGTGCGGCGCGCGAGGCAGGCGCCGGAGGCACGGCGCGCGAGGCTGGCGCGGGTGGCGCGACGGGCGCGGCAGTAGCGGCGGGCTCCGTGACGGGGAGCGCGAGCCTACGCCGCAACCGAGGGTCCCGCTGAGAGAGGGGATCCGGGAGGGACGGGAAGGCCGAGTCCTGGCAGGGCCTTTTGGACTCGCGGTCGGGTGAAGAAGGGGATTCGGGTCGGGGGCGACGTAGGGGGGTCGAGCGTGCAATGTTGCTATGAGCAACAGCCGACTCGTCCTGCGTCAAGGGAGTGCTTAGCAAGCCTTCGGCCCTTAACTCTGCCTCGACCCTGTCCAGGTACGCCCGGACCGCCGCGTGTAGGCCGTCCGAGAACGCCACTTGCTTCCTGACAATTGCGTAAGCAATTGCGTCCGAATAAAGTAACGCTCTCGGGGAACCCCGCGGCGCTGGTGGGACGTCCCCAGCCAGGGACCGAAACATCGCGTCCAGGGTCTCCGGCGAGCCTTGCGAAAGCGCTAGGAAATGGGACTCAATGGAGTCCTGGAGGACGGATGGGTGTGGTGTCGCGGTAACCTCAGTGGCGACGGCGGCAGCGGTGATCGTGGCGGCGGCGGCGGCTTTCGCGGCGGCGGCGGCGCGGATGGCAGGAGTCGCGGGGGGCGCTCGCACGCTAGGGCGTGGGCGACTCAACCCCGGATCCGACAGGGTTCTGTGTATCCCGGCGTCGTATAATGCCTCCCCCGCTCCGAGGGCGGGGGGGCGCGGTGCGGGAGTAGCGGGTTCAACGGCCCGGGCCGGATCGCGTCGCGAGCCCGCTCGACCGCTTGCGGAGCGGGAGCGGGGGACGCCCGGCGTCGAGCCGGTGGAGTGGTTCTGGCTCATCGTATTCGATGTTGATGTTAGGAGACGTCGTGCACGGCCTGAAGCCTGCAACGCGTTCCCTCGCCCCAGAGGCGTCGCTACCGGTGAGACCCGCTGGTGGGAGGCCGGAGCTAGCCACAGGCAAGGTTCAGCGCGACAGGCTGGCGATCGTTGTGCTGGGCGGCTTCTCGTTGGTTACTCCGTCGGTTTTGGTCACCAAAACCGAACGGAGACTTGTTTGTGGTAAGTAGGCCCGAGTGCGTAGTACGATGTCTAGCAGTCCGCGATAGCATAGCAGTTTTGACATTGACATTAGAGACGCCCTCCATCTTCAATCTCCCCGTGACAATATCTACGATAAGTATGGCCATAGTTAAATTAAATTTAAAAGGAGTTAACTAATATATTTTGCGCTTCAAATAGTTACAAGTGTGTTACACTTTAATGTTTACTACTCTAAGTAAAAGTAAACTACAGACTATAGTCAGTAGACAGTAGTATGGTATTGATTTAGAAAATACACATACAGAAGCTTTCTGTAACGTGATTACCATTTGCGTATCTTATCTTCCATTTGGACCAACCCTAAAAAGGATATGCTTTAGAGATAGGAACCCTCCAGCAAATACGACTATGTACGATCATCGAATGCGATATCTCCCATGAGATATAGATTGTTTGTTTTTAAGGTTTTATTCCAATACTGGCCGGTCAAAGCGTAGATTTATTTTGCTTTGTATGTTATCTTCGTACGGAATCTATTTGACATATTTAGGGACTCTTGTAAAAAGACTTCATCTTTTTCGAAGTTACAGATATGACTGTATTTTTTTCTCAATTTTTTAAGTAGGTAGAAATTATAGAAATAAGTTAGTCCTCTTTTTGTTATTTCATTATTTTCTTTTTGTTTTTTTTTTATAGAAAACCTCCTAAAATATCGTTAAGGGAAGCAGGTTTACTGTCATGGTATTAACATAGTGTGAATATTATCTCTACATAAAAATTCATTACGATCAGTATGAGGGAAAATCAAAGAAATTAAAAATGTTGATAATCCCAACTTAGCATCGTCAGTATCTGTTTATTAACAAATCAAGACTTACAGTTATAACAAATATGAACGATCCTCCGTCAAAAATATATTTCTATAAAGAAAAAAATTGTGTAAAGGACCCGAGAGAATCGTAAAACAAAAGGGAAAATTTATACAGTAACGTAATTCGTGGCATATTTTATTACTAAGTGCCAGCCAGACTTGAAATTTAAATTGCAAAACCTATTTTTCGGTTCATGTTTCTTTTTTATGAAAAAATATTTGACCCGAATGCCGGTTCTTCGATATTATGAAATAAATTATGTTGTCAGGATTAATTCGAAGATAGACAGAAGAGCACTTCAAAGGATTCGTTGGAAAGTAAATACTCGGGAATAAACACTTAAAGAAAGTCCGCTGAAAATGTAATATTTTTTATGATAGAGGAGACAGCGTGGGGTTCATTTGATGGTAGATGAAATAACCCAGCCTATAGCATCCAAACAAGATGCGCTGTCGACCTATTTTGGCTTTGGATATTCGGAAATCCACAGACTAAAACCGAAACAAGGATAAACTTCACGACTGTTTCATCTGTGGACTGTGGTTCGTGACCCGGGCGCCATTTCCAGGCGAAGTCCAACATGTTTCAGAAAAATTATAAATTGAATGCTTAGAAACATGTTGGAGGAGATCCCCGGTGGAGATCGAACCCGTGATCTGTTGATTATTGGCCAAACTTTGCTGTTATACAAACGAGCCTGTCAAATAAGAAATAGAAGTACATACATATATCACATGGAGTTATTTTATATAATTCTATCTGAATTTACTGCAATGCATATAAGTCTTTATTAAAAAAACTAATGGAATGAAAAAAAACATTGCTTTAAATAAAACACCTCAACGGTATAAAACGCGATATATTTTAGTTAAACTTGTTTAAAAACTTGTTGGTCTCACCGTGACCACGGCTGCTGCAAAGCATCCAAAATGTCGGGCCGTAGTTAAAAATAATCAAACAAGTTTAACTAAAATATATCGCGTTTTAAACCGTTAAAGTGTTTTATTTAAATATGCACGCGCGCGCTCGCGTGAACTACAGACAGTATTTAACATGGTTTGATATAAAATAATCTATTGCCAAGTTACTATTAGATTATATGTATAATGATGAATCACAATTTTTCCTTTTTGTAACTTATAACGTTCTTCAAGTTAGATCACAAAAAGTGTTTGCTCTATTAATCGGGAGAGTTATGATTATAGGAAAATGGTAATAGGAAAAAAGATTTCTATGGCTCTTGGCGAACGTCCAAAAGCATTGAAAACGATTAGGATATACATTTATAGTGTCCTCGGTTGTGTAATATTGATTACAATTACATACAATCTGCTGGAAACAACGGTTTTCGAGAAATCATTTGAAAACAGAACGACTTTACTATATCTATATAGTAAAGTCGTTTCGGGTCCGTTGGTCTAATGGTATTGTATCACTAATAATCAACAGGCAGTGGGTTCGATCCCACCGGATCCAACATAATTCCAATCCATTTATAATTCTTCCGAAACATGTTGGACTTCCTCTGGAAGTTACAGAATTTACAGAATATAAATCGTGAAGCTTGATCGCGTTTCTGTTTCATTCTGTGAATGTCCAAATATATATAAGTCGACAGTGTTTTTTTTAGATGTTGGGAGATCTCACCTTCTACTAAATGAACCACATGCTTGACTATCATCTTATAGAACCTCTCATCTTATATATCCCAAAGCTGGACATAGGTATTGTGTCTCATATGAGAAAATTTAAAAGTTTAAACCAGTCACTGCTTCAGTGCTCTAGTTCATTTACTTGCACTGGGGCAAAAGATTGGTCTAAATATGCCTATTTAGTGTTGATAACGACATTTTCTGAAGCACTAATGCTATTTTATTTAAAACTCCGATCTGGCACTATAGATTTTGTTAGAAACGTTTCAAACATGTTATTTAATGTTTTGATCCACCTTTTTTTTTATAACTGATGGTGGACGCCCACGTCGGGCGAATATGACGTGCGAAGGATGGTAAATCGTATAGCCGACCAGAACCACTAAACACACCACCGGCCCTCTACGGTGCTTTAAAGGATATTTTGACACTCGACTGTAGATCTACTAACCACTAGACTGACGTAAACGGACTATATTTTCTACCTTTCCTATTTCTACTTTAGTCCCTTGCGTATAACATTTTTTTGTGGCAAATGTATAAGATAAGGCTTACAACTCCCTGAATATAAATTTATAGTCTGAAACTAAACTTCGCTCAATTATCAACGAGTTTTTAGTATACGGAAGCTTCACGTCTGTTTCGAAAAATATTTTCCCACCGAAATTGAAACTGCAATCTCTCAACACGAAGCAAGATCATTAAAAATTTGACTCCCCAAACAAAACACGCGTTTATTTAGCCCGAGAGTTTTCCGGCAAAAATTTAATGTTTGCGCAGAAATATTTGGAAAACCTGCCGTTTATTTACATCATCCAGCTTTGTTTTGAAGTTTTCGTTAATCTGAACTGAAAACAACGGTTCTGTGTCATAATAATTTTAGGATGAAGTTCTAAATTCGTTAGAAATAAAATGTGAGCGTTTTATTAAGAGAATTATAACATAGCGTAAATATAATAATATTATTTTAAGTGGAGTGGGGGTAGACACATTTTATTGTTCACTGATCTACTAATTACATTCAAGCAATTAATCAGATTTGTGTACCCATCAAGTCCCAATTATGCTTGCCCGGGAATTGAACTCGGGGCTTTTTGTATTTACTTAACTATTATTAAGCTATAGGGCCAAACAAATAACAGATATCTTCACAAATTTCTTCGATATTTTCAGTACATTTTAGATTTCGCATTGGTTTCAACCTGAATAACTCCTAAGGGGTTGTCCCCTTGTTTGCCATTTTAGAATTTAGCAAATAGTCGATGGATTAGTTTTGAACTTTTCCCTCTTAGCAATAGAGCTTATTTCAGAGTGCACCATTTTCAATACATAATTCACCATGTTGTAAAATGTTAATTGTTTTCCCAATAAATCACGCTTAGTTCGGACTGTGTTGAAGTGAAATAGTGCTATTGTTTCTTTAAAACATTGTTTTATGGTTCTATTGTTTACGTACTTAAGTTCTAAGATCTTTAAGTTAAGTTACGTACACGTTTCTACTTCAAGTGTTAAAACTTCGTAATTTCATCTTCAATGATATTTTGATGATTACGTTTAGATAATATGTTGTATGAATACAAATACAACTCAAGTCTCATTTAATTTACATACACTAGTTGTGTCAGCGACTCCGCGAAGAATAGAATCATTTTTTCATACATATTTTTTGGTATCTTGGACCGTTTTTGAAGTGAACGTGTTGGTAACCCATAATAATGAATAATAACTTTCCGCATTTCCCGCTGTTTCTTCGCTCCTATTAATAACAGCGCAATGCTTTATAGCCTATAGCCTTCCTTGATCAATGCTCTAACCAACACAAAAAATAACTATTCAATTCGAACCAGCCGTTCCTGACAAAAAAACTCTTCAGCTTTATATATTAGTATAGTTATAGATTCAAACGTATAAAGTGTTCGTAGAAATTTTCAAATCCCGCCTTATATAAAACACTTCATTTGTCACGTAAGTATCGTAATAAGAAAACTGCTTTAAATCCCTAACACATTTGCATAGAAATAACCTGGAACAAGCCTACGGAGGCTCTACAAACATATTTATGCTCCCACATGCACTAGTAGCGTTTTCCAACTGATTTAGTTCACCGCGTTGCCTATAAAATTCAACCTAACTTACAGGATATTATGGTACTTATACACGAGCGGTCGAAGCGTCGCGTTTAATCTAGTTTTAGAATTATGTCGTAAATTTTAACGTATTATGTTGTAATTTCAATTATTAAAATGTATACTGAAGTACCTCCATACGGGATGCAATACTTGTAAGCGACATTGTGTTTATGTTTTCACTATTCTAAACTTTGTTGACCGAACTCATTATATTCCATGGAATTCAAACCCAGGTCTTAAACACTTAACGCAATTTTAGTCATCGTTTTAACCACCGATATCCCTGTCGTATTTAATTATCCGGTAGGAGTTTATTTTATGTATCTCCAGTAGCCGTGAATTTTAATCAGGTTATCGTTAATTTGATTA